AGATTTAGAGTAGATGACTTCTTAAGTTCTTTACAGTTAATACTCCCTGGTTTTCTTCTGTGGCTTCTCTCTTCAGAATTACTGCTAAAAGCTTTATTTCAGAAAATGCTACCAACAGGCAAAGCCACCTCCTGCTTCCTGCAAGAGTTTTAATGGGTCTTGGAGGCCACCTGTGACACTGAAAATTCTGTGCTGATAGGGGATAGTTGATAAAGGCTCACAGAAGGGCAAGTATACGGTCCCCTGGAGATACTTCCCCCTATGCCTCTGCTTCACCTTTCCTCAGTCGGAGCATCAGCGCTGCCCCCAAAAGTATTTAGTTAGAAGGATATGCATTTCCAGGACAAATTCCTCATGGTAGGTAAATCATACCTGAACAAATCTGGGTAGATTTTACAGAATTCAAAGTGAGAGGCGTAATGATAGCTTTCAGGCCCAGAAAAGAGAGATTTTGTTCCTTTTAATTTTGACAACATGTATGATATCCCAGGGAATTCCCTGCATCTTTTCAGAGGACTGGGTTGGATCCAAACCCTATTTTTACTTCTAGGGAATGGTCTTTGGAGTTGATACTCTGGGGAGCAGTTTAGTCCTTGGAATCTTTTTTGCCTGTTTGAAATATAGGAATGTTCGATTCTTCTGATGATAGTTCCTTATAAATAATGCCATGGTATTTTTCTGAATTGGGGTAGAGGACTTGGTGACAGAGTGTACAACTGTCCCGGGGTGGAAGGAGGCTGTTCCCTTTCTTCTTTTAAAAGGAGCTTTTCAAAACAGATTTGTTTCTCGCTTCTCAACTACAATTTACGCCACACTTAAGAAAGATTAAAATACCACCTTTGGCTGTAAATTATGTACCAGTGGGACGTAATTGTGACTTTGGATGCTTATTAGATCATTTAAGAAAACTCAGCCCCCTTCATTCATTTCTTCATCTCTTTTAAAGTCTTCCCAACAAAAGCAAATTATTTTACAGCTGGTTTGTAATTGAACTGAAACTCATCTCTGACACTGCTTGTGCAGCTCTTGGTGACATATCTTACCTTACTGTGCTCTGAAACACAACCATCGTGTTGAACCAGCATCCAAGGGTCCTTCAGTTATGAAGCTGTTCACTACCAGACAGGCAGATAACCAAGAATTCTACCAGGGCACAAAGGAAGCTGGATTAGTGTACATTGTCATAAAGAACTCCTGTCAGCTTGCTTTTCCTCTTTGAATTCCAAAAATAACATCTCAGCGCCTGTACCTTACATTTCCAAAATATTCTACCACACCCATAGAAATCTTTAGTGTGCTATACATGTTGGAATCAGTCAAGAACTTCTACCCTCCGAAGTGCAAAAATCAATCAATAATGTAAGACAAGAATTTTCTTTAAATTATTCTTTTTCTTACAGTCAGCTCTCCTCCCAGCCCCGTGTTTCCCAGCTGCTCAGTTCTAATGTGATGTCTGCTAGTGAAGAAATAATATGAATGTGTAGTAAGCCAAAAAGGAGTACGCCACTAAAATATTCTTTTTTTGCCTCAAACCCAAGAGTCAGTAGATAATAAGTGTGGTCCCCAGCCAGCCTTTGCTTTGATTATTCTTGATTGCTTCATTCAAGCAGAGGACCTAATCCCAGAATCCAGCCAGCCCAGGTGGGAAGGGAAAGCAGTCCAGGTAAAGGCAACAAGAGAACAAAGGCCATTGACACAGTCAAGCGAAAGTGTGTCTTGACACATTTCTATTATAAACGCCATCCCCATCCCAGAATTACTGATCTGCCCGGGGTCACCACCCTCACATTCAGTTGGCATTCTGTTTTCCATTGCTCTTTCCTGCTAGACTGCTTTCACTCAGCAAATCTCTTCAGCAGACAGGATCACTGCTTGGGATGAAACATGATAAGAAATTTTAAGGAACTATTTGTCTTTCTCTAGTGACCTATACATTAAAAATTAATAATAATCATCTGGATATTAGCTGTGACCTGAAACATAGCTTTGTATCATGTATTCTTAAAAAAAAAAAGCATTAACCTCATTCCTCTTTGTTGTGACTAATAGAATATGAATGGCTGAGAATCCTCCAGATCTCAGTAGTTGTACTTTGAAGGAGAGGTGAGGAAGCGGGATGGACATCCGTCCCTCATCCTGTGGGGATAACACAGAACACACACTTGGCTAGCTGTGTGTGTGCCCAGTGTTCATTGTGGGATTTGGTCAAAGATGGGTGTGGCACTGCTATTCCCAATACTGTCTTACTGTCTTGGGTTCATGTCTTTGAACATGTCAGAGGGACATGAGGAGAGTGAAGATTTGAAATCCATATCCTAGAAGAAAGTTTGGAAATAGTTTCTGTTTAGCCCTCAGAAAGAATGGTTTAAAGGGGACCCGTGACTGCTCTCAAATATTTGAAGACCCAGTGATCTGCATGGCCCCAGAGAGTAATGCTGCAGTGGAGGAGCAGAGCTCCCAGACAGGTGTATCCAGACCAGTACAAGCAACACCTGTAAACTGGGGGGCCTGGCCGGAGGCCACGAGACCTTCAACCCAGGGGATTTCAAGGGGCAGCTTGATGGTGGCTGCTCAGATGTTATCAAGATAAGTGTCTTCTCTCTAAGACTCCTGCAACCTAAGGTAATATCACGTGGCATAGATGACCTACAGGCAGCTGATCCAACATTTGCACCACATGCATGGGGAAGGGCTCAAAGGTTCTGGCTGGTGGAAAGTTCTCTAGAACTTCATTTGGACAGTTTTCATGATGAAGTAGTAAATTTTTTTTTAGGAGCTTCTTAGAGAAAATGGGATAAGAGTCCAGGTAGTAGGGTATGGGAGGCCATAGGTGGGAAAAACTCCGGGACAGAGATGGAATGATTGGATACCATGGATATTAAGTAAGCTTGCCTAAAGAGAGAGCGTGGTTCAAGAATGAGAAGGGTCAAGGAAAATTGGGTCATCAGTAAATAACAGCTCTACGTAAAAGAATAGGAAAACCAACCATTTAACTTAACCATGTCAAGTTACTGGTCGCCTGTGTAACCATAGCTGCCCTCAGCCCCTACCCCGCACAAAGGTGCCGTCACCAACTCTAAGTTCTACCCTGTGATGAGACTAGAAAAGGTGAGTACCATGGGACTAGATATGCTCCCCGAGTCTGGATTCAGTACACATGTCTTCACTGGTTTTCAGATGATTACTCAAGGGTATGGTATACTCTGAAATTCATTTTACTGTAAGAGTCCTTTCCCTTCATTTTCAGGGCAACCAGAATTTTCAGTATAATGACTTGATTGTTGTCACCTGGTGAAAAATACCTCTCCAAGCAAATTCTTGTTAATAAAAATCTTTTACTGACATAAATAGAATTGTAAATGCTGTCTCTCCCTAAAAGAAGCCCATGCCAGTTTGTGGTGCTGTGCTAGTTATTGTCTTTCAAATTTTTCTGTTACACTGAAAAACCAATTCCCCCTAGAGATAATTAGAAATCATTTCCGATTTACCATTTCTGGACAAAGAAATGACCACACATGTCAAGTTACCCAAACCATATGAAATTTAGGTAGAAGAAAACTCAGATGAATGCATTACTATTGGGAACACCATGCCTTAACTCCATAAATAGCAATTCCTTTTCTCTGAAAATCTGGTTTATACTTTTCCGTTTAAAAAAAAGAAGTGCACACACACACACACACACACACACACATTTCCCCCAAGGGTAAGTCTAAAGCCTGAAAAGCTAATTAATTTTAATGTTATAAGTTCAGAAATGAAAATGGAGCTGGGTTGGCAGTAATAAATTGAAACCCACCTATACCCTTGCTCTGAGCTCTCAAGTAGAATCCTATTCTGCACACACACGCTCCGTTGAACATGCACAGAATAGCATTTTCATAGGATGAGGGTGTGTTCAACACAGAGGAGCATGCTAACAGACTCAAGCCAGAAAAATATCCCACGAACGTGCTCTGGCCACGAAAACAAAATGATGTTTTCAATGAGAAGGAATTTCCTCGATGGTTTTCGACACAGAGTGCTGCCATCATGCCACCTATATTTCCTAAATTATTACTATCACACTGAGTTCTAAGAAAGCCCTAACTGGTAAAACATCTCTCTGACCAGATCACCCTACTGCATACAACCAACTACTCTTTCATAAATGAGAAAGGAGCAATTTTAGTAATTTAGAGAAACTACTCCTAAATTGCTCTAAAGTCTAAAACCAGATCAAGTAATTGATACATTCTCACTGTGGTATAATAGTGATCTTTGTGCCAGACCTAACTATCTGAAAATAAAGACATTTTTTGCCACTAATGCACCTCACCACTGCCCATGGTCTGTTTACTGTTAGAGACCCAGAGGTGGTCAGGGATATCCCTAGAGTCTGATCTTAATTCAGAGACAAAGGTAAGGCTCTTTCCCAAGTACTTGTTCAGCCCTATCTTCCTCTCCTATTTAAAAAGCAAGTCTTAAGCATGTTGGTATAGAAAAAGCACCTCGTCCATTTAGAAATGGAAAATATATATATATATATATATATATTAAAAGAGAAAAGGGAAAATATGGAACAGCAAAGAATTGGTCAAAATCATCATTTCTTACATAGAAACCTTGTAAGAGGCCATTGGACAAGTAGTAACATCCAAGGGGGCTGAAGAGGGTAGCGTGTTCATCGCCTCTTGGTCATCAGTGGACCTCTAAGGTTTCTAAATTCAACTCCGAAACTATATAATTAAAAGGAAACCTTCCAATACTTTCTCTACTACTAAAAACTGGGAGGAAATGAAAACAATTGTCTGAGATATTTGAAGTGTCCTCTGGTCTTGGTCTCTGACCTGCTGAGAATTCCCTCCCAGTCTCAAATCACACTGGTTTGGTCATGTCTGTGGCACCTGTGGGGTGGATGAGGCTTTGTGAAAAAAGCATTCGTAAGGCAGGTCTTGGGGAACCGCGCACGGGCAGGTAGCAGATTTCTGATCTCTAGTTTGCATTGATCTTACATTTAGACACAGATTCAGAAGAACAGACACTCCCTTTTCCAGTGCCTTCGGAAAGATTGCCGCTCCGTAGAATGAGTCCTTTCTCCTCCACCCTTAATCTACAACCCAGCTTCCCGGGGGAGATCCTACTTTGATTTCCGATCCTCACCCCACCAGCTGAGCTTGCATTCCTCTTTACAGTCTCTCAATGCACCGGGTGAGCTGAGCTCGTCTGACCTTTCCTCTTGATCTCTGTGCCTTGAAGGCATCTCTGAAATACCTGTTTTGTTCTTGCCATTCATGTGCGTGGAGAGGCCAATGAGCTGTCTCTGTGTATGTGGCCTGCTTCTGGGATGAGGAGCATTTGGATGATGGAGCTTTGTGGCATTCTTGTTTGTCATGTGAGGACCAACCTCTATGGTTGGTGTATATGATGGTGTTGGAAAGTGTTGAGTGAAGTCGTTCTATTTGCACGAGCTGGTACCACCATGGGAAACCTGCTCTGTCATCACATGCATCGGCATAGCACGCACCAGTGCCGGCTGAGTGGAGGCTGTGGCCTTAGTTTGGAGATTTGCAACCCTGCTGTATCCAGGAAACCAGCTGTGTATGGGAGACTGGATCAGTGCATCCAGCCTGGAGTGGTCTGATTAAACATAGACTCAAGAGATCTTTATTGAAAAAATAAAAGTGTAAAACTTGCCAACAGCAGAATGCATCATGCGTAGCAGGCAAACCGGAGAGTAGAAAGTGAAAGTATTTTCTGCAAAAGCCTCTGCTCCCTGGTCCAACAGTCGGTCTCACGGCTGATTTTTTTCTAAGCAAAGAGGGGACCCACCACAGCTGAATCAGAAACCCTCAACTAGCTTAAGGCCCAAAGATGGGAGTCCCTGAAAAGTCTGGCCTCCTCAAAGTTACCCACAGCCAAGAGAGCCGTGGCAGGGCTTCAGGCTCATACCAGGGAAGCTAGACTAGTGTTTCCATGCGGTGAACTCGGTCTAGCCAATAGAATCTTAAAACATCTAACACGCAGACCTTTGTGATCTCTTCAGGACTATATTGTAATCAGGGATACACACGATGCACATTTCACATTTCCAAAGGTTTATTTTCTTTTTTATTTTATTCTTTTTGCTCATCCCACATCCTGGAATGAAGAAGGCCACAGCATGACAGTGCAAAAAGGATGCAGGGACTTCAAGCTCTCTTGAAAATGACATTTTTCTTTGTGCTTTTATGTTTCTTATTGTTTTTCTGTGCACTACTGGCTTTTAAACATGCTTTGTTATGGAATTCTTTGCACTTGTGTCTAATGTACTGAAATATTGTTATAGTCTTTGTAACGTATATTGTCTCAAGAATTAAATGAAATGTGGGTTTGGGGATATTTGATGGCTGTACTTGACGCCATTGTTCTAGCTGTCTTGTTGAATCTTAAATGTACGATGGTGTGTTTAAAGTAGCGTAAAAAGATTTCAAAAACTTGTTTTGAAAAAGACTTGCACAAGGCATGATTCATTTAAAAATTTTTAAAGCCCTATTCAAATTCTACAAATTGATTTCCAAAGCTAGCTATGAGATTCGGTTTTGAAACTCAATGTGTTCCGTACTCACTAAGCTCCAAGCTGTGAGTAGGAATTGAAGTGATGGTTGATAGAAACTAAATATCGGCCATGAGTTGGAGAAAATTATTCTTTTGAATATGAAGTCATCCCAGAGAAATATAATGTAACCAAAAGTGAGGTCATAATCTTTACATTTTGTTTTTAATTCAATCAGTAGTCCTTTCTAAGTTGCTTTCTTAATTCTTCTGAAATTCTTTTAATTCAGTGTAATATCCTTCATTTAGCACATAAGGGCTTTAGAGTGTTGAAAAAAATTAAATGATTCTTTCTAGAGGATACCCTAGTGCTCATCAAAAATGTTTCCTAGATCAGTCACTGATACCACTTGAAATTGTAGTTCACACACCTTTGAACATCTTAAGACTAGACTGTTTCATCCATCTGATGAAACTTCTCACAGGTTAGGTAGAGCATTCCCAAATGTTAAGGAAGGGGGAAGATGGTTGTGAGAGTTCCACAGGTGATTCCAACATATCCCTGAGGCCACTCCTCACCCACTGCCCCCCACCTTCTTTGGTGAAAAGGACTGATGTAGTAAAGCACTCTAAGACGGAGACTAGGTCATTTTTGTTTTTACTACGTTTAATTCATGTCATTATTAATAATTATCAGATGTATGTATTAACATACGGATTACATTACACATTTAGTTACATAATTATCATTTGACTTGGGCCCAAGTCACAACAAATGCCTTTTGGCATAATTAGAGTTAGAAGTACACAGCATAGTGATGCAGAATGGAGTGTTACCAAGATCCAGTGATTTCTCCATTTCAGTTGGAAGCCTTCTTAATATGGAAACTTTAGTGGAAAAGATTGAACTTGGAAGATGATAAAAATTTAAGCTGTACAGTTTAGAAACAATTGGAGAAGAATTTATTAAGTGGGGGGAAAAGATGTACCATTCATTTTGAAAGAGCGGAGAAGCAATTTTTACCCAACCAAGTAAACTAACATAAAAAGGGCTTTGGTTTTTCATGAATCAGGCCTCTGGTGACTCTGTTCAGCTGGTGCTTTTTACATGTATACAAATTATTTTTATCAACCTGGTTGTTTCATAGCTTTGATGTGTAGTATCTCTTTATAGGATGCAATTTTGAGACACACTCTGCACCTTCCTCTCAATTAGGCAAGTATACCTATTGTAATTGTTCTCTTTTACTGATGTGACCGATATGCTCCATTCCCTTCACAAAATAAACGGCAGCAGCTTATTCTATGTCAATAAAATTGTCTAATTGTCATTCAAATCCCATTATAGCCATTTCTCACGTACTTACAAAGGTGGAAAAGATACGCGGATTTTGAAATTTTATGCCTCAAAGATTACCTTTCCCCTCAGTTTTCTTGTACATCAATGCAAAGCACTCTTTATAAGCAGAGCACTTGTGGGCAAAGGCATTAGTCAGACCAAAGGTTGTAGTGTTTGCAGGTTTAAACTGAACTCTTTTTTGATATTGTTTTATCAAAAGAGACATGTTTTCTTATCAATGTCAATTTTGCTTCCTATTTCTCTCTCCCATGCCTCACTTGGAATGACAACAGTTGACATTAAAAAGCTGTTGGCAGGTATGGAATAACCTTATTCTGTTACAAATAGCAAAGACACAGTGCATGTGAGGTGGTTCACAGGTTTGAGAAATCAGCAGTTTCGTCTCTCTGAGCGCTTTCTTGGCAGGCGGCTTTCAGAACTCGGGCATAGCTCTGTGTACCAAGACATCACTCTCTCTGCACCTGATGTCCAACATGTTTCACGTGTTTGTTTTAGGAGTAACACGCAAACTGCATTCTTAAGTGTGAAGGAAGCAACCTGTCTCACATCCAAGTCACAATCACTCAAGAAAAGTAGTTTCTGTTGCTGATAGCTTTCAAGCTTTCAAGCTTTCAAGCTTTCAAGCTTTCACTAACACTGAGGCCATTTTCAAAACGACTAGATCTGAGCACTTCTGCCGAAGGACGATTTCCTTGTTTCACTCAGTGTGTTTTATCCCTCCTCCATCTAGGACTCTAGATCCTAGCCTCCCCGTCTCAGGGTTACACAGGCATCTTAGCGTATCCCTCCCCCTTATGTCTCTGGTGTACTGTTCTGCCAGTCACTGGGTGAAGGGACTTGCACCTTCCAAACCGATGCCACTTCACTCCCGGATCACCTGGTTGGGAGTGCAGTCTGAGCCAGGTAACCCCTGCTGAATCGGTTGTGTGTCCTCCGTCTGCTTCTGGGCTCAGAGAGCACCAGCTCCCAGGACGAGCGCCCTGTCTGCTCACTCACGGCCCTTTCTGGCCCCGGACGCCTCCTTCCTGCATGGCAGCATGCAAACGGGACAAGATGCTCCTCACCTGCCCAGGAGTGAGTGATGGGGTTGAGCCCATCGGGTCCCTCTTAGTAACCGCCCTCCCTTCTGTTGTTCCCAGTGGCCTGGTTTGCTTTCGACCCCGGCTCTGCACACTCTGACATCATCTTCTCCAATGACAACCTGACTGTGACCTGCAGTAGCTATGATGACCGGGTGGTGCTGGGGAAGACCGGCTTCTCCAAGGGCGTCCACTACTGGGAGCTCACTGTGGATCGCTATGACAACCACCCTGACCCTGCCTTCGGTGTGGCTCGCATGGACGTGATGAAGGATGTGATGTTAGGAAAGGACGACAAAGCTTGGGCAATGTATGTGGACAATAACCGGAGCTGGTTCATGCACAACAACTCGCACACCAACAGGTACCCTGCAGCCCTCAAACCGAGCCTTCTTCACGTTGGCTTCTGGTCTAGAATGACAGCCCAACTTCAAAGACCTGTGAAATAGACAACATTGAGGAAGTAAGGCAGGCGATCTTTATTAAGTAGAAGTTCTACTGATCTGAGCCGAGTCCACCCTGGTGTTTTATTTTTTTACATAATGAGAGAGACATGAGTACTTTCCTAGGCCCCCTTCTTGCTGTATTCCATCCAGGGCTGGAAAATAAGAATCCCTGTGCATATGTACCATAGAAACATTCCAGGATTCTAAAACCCAGACTTACAACTTACCAGAAAAGCACTTTTGGACAAGGTACTTCGTTTTTCTGAACCTCGGTTTCCAAATCCACCAAATTAGAAAAGTCATATTTTGCCATGCAGAAATGTTCCCATGATCAAATGAAACATGCAAAAATGCCTCCCATCAGAGTCACCTGAAAATAGAAGCCATTGTTCTTATGATGATGATTATCAATGCCACTGCTCAGAATAGTAGCCATTCATTAAACTAAATTTTGTGAATGCCAATTGGGAGAGTTTTATGCTTGAAGAACTCTCTTATTATAGTGTGGTTTCAGAGCACCCAGTTTTCTGGGAAAAGAACACAGTAATCACCTTAGGTTTGCCTTTACCACCAAAATATAGGCAGTTATAATTTAACCCATACTATGTTTTCTCTAGATTTCTGTTTTCATTTGGTTTGTGTTTTCTTCCTCATCCGTATTTTTCACAAATTTCCTAGGTAGAGAAGTATCTTTTATGGGCCTTGGTCTACCTTACTGTCAAAGATTTCCCCAGGATACATTTTCATTGGTATCTCTTGGGGTCGGGGGTCAGAAATACAATTGTATTCAGTCTGATCACAAGGAAAGTGAGTCGGGCAGTGGTGGGCAGTGGACATTTTCTGTGTCCTCATCATTGCTCCTTTTCGAGCCAGCAGGACTCCCAGGGCCTCCCCTTCCTTTTCCCTCGAACAGTTTCTTTACGCCTGCATTCAGGTGTATGTTATTAACCATCACTTGAAGTGCACACACATGCCATTTCAGCCTGATAGCAAATGCGACTAGATGTAGATAAACCATCATCTTCAGTGATTCACATTTGGGGGACGCCTCTGTGACTACATTCCCGATTCCATCACCCATGTACCATACATTTCCTTTTCAGCTTCTCTATTTTGGCGTAAAGGAATGAATAAGCTGGGCGGGTATAGCTCAAGTTGTAGAGCACATGCTTAGCATGCACAAGGTCCTGGGTTCAATCCCCAGTACTCCCTCTAAAAACAAATAAATAAACCTAATAACCTCCCCCCCCGGCCAAAAAAAAAACCCTAGAAAAAAAAGAAAAAGAAAAAGGAATGAACAATCTAATAGCACAGCTGCCACACTATGCAGAGAAACACCTTCTTAAGTCAGAACACGTCTGCTTGCGTATAAGCCGCATGTCACCAGTGCCGTCGTCGTTGAAGCTGGGAGTCCCCAAGATGCAGTTGATACCCCTGTGCTTTAAGGCCCGTGTGCACTCTGTATTCTACACGCTGGGCTTGCGGGCGAGTGGCGAAGACAACACTACCATTTCTGCGCTCTGCTGAGATGAGGATGAAGTTCAGTATTGCTAGATCTCAAAGAGGAGGAAAAAGACAAATCTGATCATCCAGGCTTAATGGCTTTTGTGAAACTATCAGTTGAAGAATAAGACACAATTTATAGTCAAATGACAATCACTCCAACTGGTACAGTGTAATTAATTATTTCACCTTACAGAGAGGAGACCCCTCTCCTTCAGTGTTGCCATTTTACAGAGCGCCTCCAACTTCTCAACATGCCCAGAATTACCATCTTTCTGAAATGAGTTTTTCTATTTAATGGATAACATCAGGCCCCAAGTCCAGTTTTTCACATCCGTGTTTTAGGTTCAGATTCAATTCTTCTTTGCTTTGACTTTCCAATTAAATCACATTGGATTTAGTGATGTTTCATGCACACTGTCTGTGCCAAGTGTGCAAGCCAGCTCTGGGCAGAGCTTCGATAGCCCAAAGGCTGCTGGCTGCTCTCAGGCTTCGGCGTTTTGCCTGCCTAGTACTGTGGCTGAGCAGCAGAGCCCCTGTGTGGAGGCACTCACCCTCGGCGGCAGCAGAGCAGCACAGCTGAACCTCACAGGGGAGCAAAAATTCTTAACTGCTTTTACATACAAAGCCCAGATACATACATAGCACATAAACAGATACACAGTGTATCTGTGCTATTAAAATGTATGTGAGGAGGGGGGGTTGGGGGGGAAACATTTTAAAAGGCTCCTGGGGTGGGGGTGGGGAACAGTACCTTTAAACAGGTTGAGAAATACAGGTTTAACCATACGAAACGGGAAGCTGCTAGAATGACCACAGGCAAGTGAAACCCAACTGTTTTCTTTTCCCACAGAACTGAGGGAGGGATCACAAAGGGGGCCACGATCGGGGTCCTCCTCGACTTAAACAGAAAAACCTTGACATTTTTTATCAACGATGAACAGCAAGGCCCCATAGCATTTGAGAACGTGGAGGGGCTGTTCTTCCCGGCGGTCAGCCTGAACAGGAATGTGCAGGTGAGCTGTGGGCTCCCAGGGCTGCCGCGGGCGGGCGGTGAGCTGGGCCCCTGACCCGGAAGGCCCAGATCAAGGGAGGTGGGGGGTGGGGGGATGGACAGAGACAAGTGAGAGGACTCGAAACCAGCATAAGCACTCCGTTACACTTGGACACAGTCTAGTGAACAGCACGTGGGAAACTCCTAGTTCTTTGCCTGGCTTGCCGATGATCGTCCCTCTAAGCCCTAGATTCACCTCCGGTAGGAATGAAACTCTTGAACCAGCTGGCATGACAACAAATGGACAGACTGACGCAAAGCCCGTGAGCACCTGAGCAGTTCAGGTGTGAGGCTGCAGCGTGAGCTCCACGCTCAGAAATGTGGGGCATCTTCTCTGCACTCTTGTTGGCTGTTAGGTGCTCCTGGGACAGAAAACATTATCGCTGCCTGAGAGTTAGTTACTTATGATTTACTGCAAATAAAAACAACAGGTCCTCCTCATTTGTTCATTCAACAAATATCTCTGGAGTGCCTTTAACACATCAGGCACTATTGTAAGTATTTGAAGTATTGTTGTTTCTCAGTGAAAATGAAAAAAATCTTGCCCTCTTAGAGCTCTCTTTCTAGTTACAGGAGGCAGGCAGTAAATAATATGCACAGTTGCTACATTGGTTATATGGTACGTTTGAAGGTGATACGCAGTGGAAAGAAGACCGAGAGGAGGGGAAGGGACGAGAGCGCCGGGCTCGGGAGGGCAGCACAGCCTGAGCAGGGTGCTCTGGGTGCTCAGTGTAGGTGGGCCTTCCTGCAGTCACAGGTGAGCTGAGCCTTCAAGGGGGTGAGGGAGTGAGCTGTGTGGGGCTTTCCGGGCAGAGGGAGCAGCCAGGGCGGTTTCTAAGGCATGAGGCAAGGAAGGGCCAGGAAGCTGTGGCTGGGGGAGACAGGGGAGCGGTGGGAGAGAAGAGCAGGGAGCGCCCCGCCAGCCACTGCTAGGATCGGAGCTTTCACTCCCGTCTTGAGCTGGAACGCTCGTTATCAGCTGTGCACCTCATTCAGCAGATGGCTGTCTGATGATAGAGAGGGCTTGAGGATCAAAACACTGCTGGTGATCTGTGCCCTATTCAGAACCACCATCTTGAGAGCTATTAAAAAAAAATCCATTGTTGCTTATCCGTATGTGCAGTAAAAGTGATTGCAACCCAGTGACCTCTGCCCTTCTCTCTTCC